TTGAATATTGATTAAAGTTTTATAAGTTTTCAATGGAAAAGTTGTTTTCTTCTAAGATGTTATTAAAAACAAATTAGGCTACTTTTCTTTATTATATATATATATATATATATATATATATACGTGTATCTTTTTTAACTCTTTTTATATTTTTAGTTTTGCTTTTTAAATATTATTATTACTTTTTATTTATTATTTTTTCATTCTTAATTCTTTTTAATTAATTTTCCTTGCTCTTTATTTATTTTTTTCAGCTGTTTGTTTTTGAAAGTTTTCAATAAATTATTGTTTTAATTCTTTTTTATTATTGCATTGAAATATATTATTATAATTATTTTTTATTTATTGATATTTTTCCAAATTTTTGTTATTTTGTATTTTTTATGGCACTTTTCTTAATTTGTTTTTAATTTATAATTCTCAGTTTAGTTGTTCTTTTTCTATTCTTTTTGACTTAATTTCAATATTTTTTTTATTAAATTATTAAATTTTTTAATACTAATAAATAATTTTCTCTTTAGTTTTTTACTAGTTTTTCTTATTTATATTTGAACTTTTTATGGTGAACTCTAGTTTTTTATATTTTTTCCTGATTTTAATTTTAAGTTTTATAATTTTTTTTTAAATTGTTTTGAAATTTTCTTGTTTACTTATTTATTTTTTAAGTTGTAGCTTTCTCACTGAGATTTGTTTTAATTTTTAAACTTTTTAATATTATAACTCTTTAGCTCTAACCGTTATATATATATTTTTTAATTTTTTATAATTTTAATTGTTAATATTTTTTTTTAGTTTTATGTTTTTATTGATTTTCTTTCATTGATCTTTTTTATTTTTAATTTTGGTTTTTGTATTGATTTTCTTTTTTTTGCTTCAATTTTTTTAGTTTTTTTTTTAATATTTTTTTTAAAATTTTTTTTTATAATTTTTTTTAATTTTTTTTTTATAATTTTTTTTAATTTTTTTTTAATTTTTTTTTAATAATTTTTTTTAATTTTTTTTTTAATATTTTTTTAAAATTTTTTTTTTATAATTTTTTTAAATTTTTTTTTTAAGTTTTTTAATTTTTTTTTTTTAATGTTTTTAAAGGTGTACAACTTTACTTCCGCCGTTTTTTTTTTCAAAATTAAAAGCTTTATTGCGAAAAAGTGCTTACAGATATATTATTCAAAGTATTGTCCTTCGCTAGCGACAACTTTCTCCCATCTTTCCGGCAATTTGCGGATCCCGGCTCGAAAAAAGGGGTCCTCTTTTGACGCTATCCATNAGCCTCAACCGGTACAGCCACCTATCGGAAAACGGCGGAAGCAAAGTTGTACACCTATAATTTAATTATTATTTTATTTATAGTTTTAATTGACTTTTTTATTATTTATTTTTTATTTAATAATTCATAATTCTTTTCTTCTTTCATTTACCGGCGTGGACACCGCTTACGAGATTTTAGCCGATTTAACCACATTGCGTCATTCGTTTCTTCTTTTTGCTATTTGCGCCAATTGGAAATTCCAAGTACAGCCAGGTCCTTCTCTACCTGGTCTTTCCAACTGAGAGGAGAATTTTCAAGCTGGAGTATTCACATCCAACCAGATAACATGGCCTAGCCAGCGTAGCCGCTGCTTCTTGATTCGCTGAACTATGTCAATGTCGCCGTATAACTCGTACAGCTCATCGTTCCATCATCTGCGGTATTCGTTTTCTTTCGAAAGCTCCAAACGCAGTTTAATCAGATGTTGTCATCGTCCATGCTTCGGCGAAGGGATCTTCGACAACTATCATCAGCCGTTGGTTGCTGGACGGCATGGCACACGCATTCACCCCCTCCTCACGTTCCCTGCATTTTCAGCGTGTACTGTCATCAACCAGACCTAGTTTGAAGGCATGAGACTCCAAGAGGAAAATGTCCCGTTAGTAGACCTCCTAGCAGCCTGGAGTCTAACCTATCTTGATGGTAGACAAGGTATAACAAAGAGTTTTCAATTTACCATACCAATAAATGCATACAAGAATTTTTATTATAACAAAAATTATACAAAAAAAATGACAATAAAATTTTTATTGAATGATTCAACAATTTAAGGGTGTTTTTTTTAGACATGAGGCTTTCTGGAAAAAATAAAACACATATAAAGGGTGATTTTATAAGAGTAATAGGAAAGTTTAAAAAAACACATAAAATTCAGAAAAATGCATCTCACGAACAAATGCTTCAATGTTGTCTTCCAATGCGTCAATTGAAGCGGGTTTGCCTGTATAGACACTAAATTCAACATAGTCCCACAAAAAATAGTCTTAAAGGCGTTAAATCGCACGATCTAGGCGGCGGTCCAATGATGTCACAAGCCCATAAACCGCACCAAACTGTGACTTTTTCTGGATGCATTGGTATCTCTGGCATAATTTGCTCAACATCCTCCAATTCAGCCAAAAAAAAGTCATTAATCATATCCGTATAGCTTTGTCTATTGATTACTGTGACCAGCTTCGTTTGAAGATGTAACTTCGTTTTAACAATGGCTGTAGATAAGCATCGCTGCGAATGCGAATAATTTCTTTATTAACAACCAAAAGTGAGCTTCATCTTCTTAATCCTTTCAAAAGAGTAGACATACACTATCCCTCTTCCATCGAATATTTTCATAGCTGGAATCCTTTCATCCATTCGAAAGACATGAACTAGTCAACGCAGCCACTTTCTCTTTATTTTCTGAACTATGAAAATATCGCTGTTTCGTTCAAGGGTTGCCAATGCTCAAAATAACGTAAATCGTTCGGAAAACTTGTCATCGAATGCCGTTGTCGTTCACACATCTGCACTACAAAACTGAACGCGAACGATGAGCGACGAGTAGAATCGAAGGAGGGTCTTACTTTTGGCAAGAATAATTTATAGGTCGATAAAAAGATGGTGTGTCTTCTCCAATATTTGACACATGGTGAATATCTGATCAATGGTGGATTTACCAGGTCTAAAGTCAATCAGTTTGTTAACTTTGTGGGCTTTAGTCTTTCATAAAATATGCTCAACGAAATCTTACTTGTATAAACGAGACTTCTTCCACAATAATTGCCGTAGGTTGTGGGATGTCCGTTTTTATGGAGTGACAAAGCATAATAAGATTCCAATCGTTGGGAAGTTTTGCCAAATAATTTCTCTGAAATAACCTTCCCACAACGTATGTAGCTACCCATAGCCAACTAAAAATATCGCTATTCGCTCCACGTCTTTTTCATCATAATCGATTGGAGTTTCAGGTTCATCATCTCTGGGTGTTGCGCTTTCACTGCCATTTGGCAGACTTGAAAAGCATCACTTGCACAGTGAAATATTTGAACTACGAACTAGAGATCACAATGCTATGCTATGCAAAAATTTACTCGAAGCTAAGTCTCCAAACAGGTACATCAGAAAGACAGGAAGGACTAGACAATACTGACTCCTAGCAGCACTAGAGACAAGACTAGCTGTACAGGACGACGTACCGAAAGGCTTTATTAAATGCCATTCATCGAGACTCCGCTAACACATTGATAAACTCTCTTCCAGTGAATGGCGTTCTCAGAATATAAGCCCCATCTATTGCAGGGTTCAGAGACCCAAGTAATAGTGAAACAATAACTATCTGCATATTAAAGCGGACTTAATTCCTACAAATCCAGGACCCAACGTATATTCGGCATGCAATGAGACTTCCCTTCGACACTAACCACTTTGTTGCTTGCTTAAGAGCATCCCATAAAAAGTACTCAACTAACCTCCTTTTCCCATTCCCCTTAGGTCTGAGCCCGCCGAAGCGGCTCGCTTCCTATACCTATTCCCTTAGGTGACCTCGATGACTTTGAAAAGTCTCGCCTGCTGCTAAGCGGGGTTGGAGAGCCGCTATAACAGCAATAACAGCAACAACACCAACAAAAATTTATTCTCAATGAAATATTAATTAATTTTAAACAATTTTTTTTTATTAAATGAATATTCTTTATTTTTATATTCCAATAAAATACAATAGATTTAATATGTATACATACATATATGATACAATAAATGCGAACATTTGTATATAAACATTGTACATACTCGTACATACATAATTTCGTACATATGATACAGACTCTAAATAAACATACATACATAATAATATTTATTTTGTGCATAAAATGCATTTATATACTCGTATATATGTACATACAAACGCTTGCCATTTCTAAAACTGTTAAATGGCATTTAAGTATACAAATTAAATAAAAAAAAATCAAGCTTCTCACAAGCTATAAATATACATACATATATACTAGAAATACATATAAATATTTACTGGTACATCAAGAACGCAAAAAAAAAACACTTAAGTTATAAATTAAGAGTTTGAACTAAAACTCCGACAGACCGACGATACTAAAAAAAAAAAAACAATCAAAATATTTTATACAAATATTTATGTGTACATATACGCGGATTTGCCTTTTCTGTTTCGGAATTTGACAACCGTAGTGTTGCTATCTGTCAACTGACAACTTTTACATAAAGTTTGATATTTTTGTTGTTATGCATACAAATTAAATAAATTAAATTACTCAGAACGTTTTACATGCGACCGCCATTTGTGTTGCTCACAGTAGCTTAAAATATCCAACGTCGCGATAAATTTCACGCCAATCAAAAAATTTCTTGCGATTTTGCACAATCATTAGAAAATGCCGTTAAAGCAGTCATAAAAATAAATTTTATTTCGGTTTTACCCTAAGTGAAAAGCTGTCGTTAATGTTAAGTGGTTAACAGATAATGTTAAGTCGTTAACAGATAATGTTAAATCGCTAACAGATAATGCTATGTCGCAAACAGGTTATGTTAAACGTTAACATAGAGTGTGCTGTTGAATTGTAGTAAGCAGTCATTTTAAAATTAACGTTGAAAATGACTTTGTGCGGATTCAACAATAATAATTTCATTTCGTTTCGATTTCATGGTGCGGAAGCGAAACAAAGTCATTTTGCTAAATTCATTTTCCATAGCAACCAAAGGAAATGGCATTGTTTTGTTAGTGGAGCATCTCTGAACAAAACTAATAAAATATAAAATAATAAGAAGGTAATAAAAAAAAAAAAAAAAACATAATTGATTAATGTTCGTTATGAAATTCAAAAAAAATGTATTTACTTTCTTTTAAAAAATCTTGTGGAGCAACCCAATAGAATTACAGTTCATCAATGAACTTAATTCAATTATAGACAATGTAGCTCCGACAAGAAGCAAGTGTTTACCAATGTCATGGTAAATTCACTGGTAGTCCTAGTTTACTCCCATACTCCTTCAAACTGAGTTGTTGTTCTGTAAACTATTGGTGCGTGAGATTGAGACGACTACATATATGACGAGGCATTAGTGGGATCAGCATACATTCAATATTGCTTGAACATTTGACTGTAAAAGAAATTTGTTTGGCTCAATATAAAGGTGTGTGTCGTTTTGTCGAGGAAAGAAATGTTAGGCTCGGTGTGCTGGAATTTACCCATGGTAAGACATGCCTTAAAGGACAACCGAAATTCAATAGTTCACGCGACAGTCGGCGGTTTTTTAATACCCAAATGACCCGCAATACTCGCCGAAAATCAATTTGGCGAATATTTTTGCGATTACTACAACAATAACAATAACAACAACGCAGAACAGAAGTCTGAGTGGTAAAAGAGTATTTGTTTGTCAGTTGTCATTCAAGAAATCAGGAAAATAATTGCCAAAGACGATTGACTCTTCACCACAACAAGACAAGCTCTCACACTTAGATCGAAACAACTACATTTTTGAGCACTCGAAACATCACGATTTGATGAGTTAATCGGCCGAATAGCCCAGATGGGCAGCGAATGACTTTTCATACATAAAATATAAAGTGAGAAGTCAACGTTTTTCTACAACTGAAACGGCGGTGGATGCCTCACCTCAGTCAGAGTGCCAAAAGTGCTTCCACAACTCCAAAATGTATAGATCTTAGTGGAGAATATTTTGAAAAACAATAAAGTAGTTTTCAATGATAAATAATTGTTTTTGTTTTCTAATCCCGAAATATAAAAGGCAACCCTCGCATGCATAATTTATGGTTCGTTATTATAATTATTATATACCTACATATGTATAAGTACATATATGTTTTTTAAAGGTCCGTACGTTTGGTCTGGAAGCACTTTACGGTAATTAACTATTATTATTTTCTTTAGATATGTATTGAATAATTACATATTCATACAAACATACTTATGTATAATTTGTAATAAAAAAATTAAAAAAAAAAAACATTTTAATTCACCCTTTCATTTTATACATAAAAACATACTTATATATGTATAAATTTTGCACATAATTTACATTTAACAAATATTTTCCATAATCGAGAAAATAAACGAAATTATTGCAGACCGAAAATAACAGGAAATGAATCAAAAAAAAAATTTCAATAAAATTTGAACTTAAAATTCTTTCGTTTCCTTTTGGACAATAAAAGAAAAACAAAGAAATATATATATAGAAAAATCTACACATATAAAAGAAACCATATACATAAACTATGCCTAAGTTTTTACTTAATTAAAATGAATCGGAAATGAATGCGGAAGGACTCTTACGTCACAAACGCGCACAAAATGGCCACAAATCGATTTTTTTTTTTTTGTATTTTATTTTCACTTATTTTCCTTTTTTACAGGTTTTTCAAAATATTTTCGCCAAACTTGGCGTACGTCTAAACGGATTCCATGAACTTGATGATAGACTGCCCAGGCGGCTCTTCGGCGATGTGGTTTTGAAACGTGGCTTGGGTTTTGTTGTTGTGCCCGTTGGACTGGAAGAGCCAGAGGAGACGCCGGAAGAGCTGGCAGCGGAGAGCGTGGAAATGGAGCCTTTCGATGATAGGGGCTGAAAGAAAGAATAAAAAAAATTTGAATTTGATATTTATTTAAAAAATTATAGTTATTTAAAAAATAAATTGAATTATTTTCAGAAAATTAATAATTATTTAAAATTAACTAACGTTTTTTTTTATTATCTTATTGGGAGTAAAAATGAATTCGGTTGGCTTTCTGTATATAAAAATTTAATTTTATTGAAAAAAATTTAAAAACGGTAGCGATTACAATTGCCCATCTCTCTCTCTTTCTCTTTTTTCCCATAACACCTCTAACGTATGGAACTTCTCTGCCTTCGATCCAAATATTTTTCGATTTCTTCAAATACCACAAATTTGTTTTGCATCCATCGAAAAAAACCAATAGTTGGAAGGAGCAAGATCTGAGGAATACGGCGGGTGGAGTAAGACCCTTTCAGCGTTTTCGGGTACAGCACAGCCACGTCGGACTTTGTAATGCCGCTCGGTCGTTTCTGGCCGTTTTTTCACGGCTCAAACGCATTAGTTGTAGTCGATAATGTTTCGCATCAATGATTTCGCCATCTGATCGGATAATATGCAGAGCATGACCCATGCGTGGCATAGTATTTTTTCTGCTTGGCGTTATCGTAGTATATCTCTTATTTTTCGTTGAAAAAATCTTTTCCTCTGTTGTCTTTAGAGAAGTAGCTCGAGGTTATAATCGTATTTCGCCATCTCTCGGCTTCAACTCAACTCCTTGCTTATGAACGATTTTGCTTTAACTGAATGCAAATTATTTGTTGTGCTAGTCCCACGATTCTGCGAGTTAAATTTCATTTGACACGAATTTTGATCCAGTGAAGCCACCAATTTGTCATCTTCGACTTTTTTGGGTTTCTGTTTTCGAAGCTGAAATCACAATTTTGTAGCGTCGAAAACACTCGGTCGGCGCAGATTCGTTGTAAACTTCGACAAGCATTCGATGGGCTTCATCTAGCCTTTTTATATATCTAATTGGCGCTTTGTAACCGCTGAAGCGATTTTCGGCCGAACTTGAACCCGAGCCTTCCGAGTGGCAGTACGCAATGCTAACTACTCGGCTACCGCGGCCGCCACTTACTCTGAATAAATCTTAAAATCAAAATATCCCTCTTACTCTTACTCTTTATTTAACACTAGCCCGGAGATTTTCGATGAGGCAGAAAACATTAGAGTTGCCAGAATCAGGCGCCGTTGCCCACTGATTATTGTTGACGCTTCCCAGATCGGCCACAACCTGCAGGTGGAGCCATCTTTTGCGAACGGACCGGAACAATTTGTACCCCCGAAATTATTACTTTTTATTTTATTTTTATATTTTATTTTTATAATTTATTTTCTTAATATCAAAATATTCGCTTTTTACCTTTAAATAATTCCTATCCATTGGCGTAATGACTTTCAACTCCAGCGTACTGCCACACGACTGTATTAAGCGCACCACCTGTTGGTGAGAGTACCATTTGACATCGATGCCAGCAATTTCCACAATAAAATCGCCTTCCTTAATACCGCCCAACTGCAAGAAGGCGTAAAATTAGAAAAATATTAAGAATTATTTTATATTATTTAAAATTATAATATATATTATAATATACATAAATAACGGTATTGTGTAACTTACATCCGCCAAAGAATTAATTTCCACATGAGCTATAATAACCGGCGCATCGCCACGCACATGAAAACCGAAACTCTCCAGCTCCTCTTTGTATTGACTGCAGCCAACTTCGTGTCCTTCATTTGGTGTGGGACAATGACAACGATAATGTGCGTGCGCATTCTCATGATATATGGAAGAGCCTTTCTGCAAGCGTACACAACGCGGCGCAGTCCAATGACGACGTGCGGAGAATATCGCAATGGGGCCGAGGCGTTTGAAGGGATCCTCCACTTTGTGTGATGTAAAGTCGGGACCGGTTAGGGTGAGGGTGAATTTTGAACAGGCTGTGAGTGTGAAAATGAAGAAACGAAAAAATTTACATAAATTTCTATGTACAAGATTTTCTTAATATAATTCAGAGATCTTATTTCGAGCAAAAAAAATTATCTTTTTTCTTCCCCTTACCTTCATTGACAACTTCTATCACATGAAAATCCTCCTGTATATCGTTTTCTGGCGCTTCTTCGAGAAATTTCTCATACTCATCTTGTGTTTTATAATGGGCTTCCTTCAAAACTTGCGTCAGACTTAATTTGTTCTGGAACAAAGAAATGAAAAATTTGTTAAAAAATTTACATTTTCGACCAAAAGCCGATCATAGCATCATTTAAATATCTAAATTAAAGTTCCCAAGTATGGGCTTGTTCTAATAAAATCTTGTAGAAGACACTCAAATCCCAGTTAAGAATCTTCTAGTGAATTAGTCATATCAGAGATCGCTGAAAGATCACTTTGGCCTATGAAGTGATCTTTCAGCGATCTCTGATATAATCTATCCAATTATTTCGAAACTTACTGTTTATTGAACGTATAAAAAAGTAGTCAGAATAATTTCTCTGCTCTAAATAAGCAGGTTTACCGTCCATCAGGTTTTTTTGTTTTCGAAACCGCACCCAGTCTTAGCAACTTTCCGTACAACTGACCGAAATGCGCGTCTGAACGATAAGCTTTAAAGCGAAAAGATCGGTGACTGAAAGGGAGGTAAAATCCGAACTGTCATGCACCCGAGACTGATTGCGGATGGTCATGTCGTACCATCTCAGCTAACTGGATGCTAAAGGTCCTGAGACTTTTTAGGATCGCTGAGAAAACTCACAATCAGCTAATAATCAATTTAGGTAGATCCAGCCTTAATGAGGATAGACCCTCATTCACTAGTCAAACTTCTACCGTCCAAAACTGTTGTTGTAATTTCTTCTATTTCAAAAAAATATAAGAGACATTTTCATAAAACTTAAAACCAAAAACACTTCAACAAAACAATGACCTGAAAAAGCATCGAAGTATCTTTGTGCCCGTCCCTAGGGACTACATTCTACTCCGCCAAAGTAGGGTGAGTTCGCAATGAAAGTGGCTTAAGTTACAGGTTTTTCCCTCTGTCTACAACTTCTACAGAAGCCATTTGATGATACGCTAGGCCTCTCTGTGCATTTGCTAAGTAGAAGATATTTCCTTTCCTTTAAGCTCTTGTGACCTACTTTAACCGGTGTAGGCTACATTATTCTAGTCACATTGCCTTAATTGGAACTAATCCATCTAAAGTTAGCATCAGAGATGATTAATTATCTCTTTTATATATATTTTGTAACTGCTAAAACTATTTCTGGTAGATCTTCTCCTCCTTGTTTGCAAGTTCGACTGACATTTTGTTACCCGGTATTTTACTGTGTCCTGGTACTGGTTCTGGTATCTATACTAGGTCCGGGAAGAACTACGTATCCATTGGATTTATTGTTACAGATTTCAGTGTTCTTCAGTGCTGTCTGACAGTCGAAAAAAGATGCAAATCGCGAATAATACCCTGAATAATTGATAATCCCAACTATGACGGCCAGTTTTCTTTAAAAAATTGTTAATGTGATCCGTTAGACGAAAGGAATTGCTTACATACTATCCTGACCTGTATTATCACCGAATTCAATAAGTTATCTCCTATTTGTGTTTCTGTCCGCAAGGACGTGGAGGGGTAATTGTAAGGCAGTCGAACTTGTCAGGCAAGGCACAAGCAGATTCTTCCCGGCAAACTATTACTCCAAGAATATGCTTATGAGCAGGCCGAATTCAGATGAAATCACATGGCTACTTTCAGAATATTTAAACAAACTTGGGCGAAATAGGACTGGAAAGAGTCTTTAAGGTTGCGGAAGCCTCAACGGGCCACTGTTGGATAGAACGAAATGCAGCGAATCTGGAATTTTCTTTTCAGAGATATTGGAGTGGCTGCAAGAATGGATGAGTTGGAATGAACGGTCTGCTACCTCTTATGTGATGGCCTTGCCAACGGCAAACGTTCCGATGACTTGTGTAAGATAGCAGATACCAGGGAAAATTATTTAATGAAAAGCTTGTTGATGTGCTAAAAATCATGGTGCCACATCTGATGCTCCCACAGTTATAGACACTTCAATGAAAATTAGTCTAGTAAAATTTTCTTCGGGGCTTTTTATAAGCTCTTATAATGAGTTTGACACTGTCTCGGGACACTTTTAGAAGGACGACTTATTTGTCAACTTTCTTAGTTACGATAGACATAAGCGCCCAGCAGAGTCTACCGATTCGAGTAATCATGAATCAGTTTCGCACCACGCTTTCTCTAGTGGATAATGCGCATTCTCTCAGAGGCCGTCCAGTCCGCACCGAAGACGCTGTTGCTGCTGTAAAGCAGAGTATCAATGCAGATCTGAATGAGCCCGCCAACTCTCGCAAACAATTCGAGCTGTGCCCACCCAATTTATGGAAGAGTTTGTGGGACTGCAAATTTCAACTCGTTCAAGAATTGTAGCCGAAGGATCATCAAGCGCTTCACCCAAATTTCTTCGAAAAATGAAACCGGCCATGATGTTATAATCCAATGGGGAATACTATAGTGCCATGATTAATGACCTTTTCTGGTCTGAATTGGTGCATGTTGATGTCACCGACGGTTGGTTTTGACAAGACTGCACCACATACCATACAGCCAACGAAACAATTTATTGAAGACAACTTTAGGTGGGCGCATTATCTCCCGCCGTGGGCATGAGTCGATCATGCGATTTTTAACCCCTGCACTATTTGTTGTGGGGTTATGTAATCGCTTGAAAAATTGGTAGAAAATTGGGTACTTCACTGGACTTTTTTCGAGTCAATAGCGGCGATCATTTTCCCGATATCATTATTAAAACATATAAGCATACCCTTATCCTTAAAACAAAGCTGAATTCTTGGATGTTACATTACATGGAAAGCCTGTTAAATCTTTTTCAAGGCCATATGTCTGAAAAATACACCCTTTCATAATTATGCCGTTATTCTTGAATATTATCATATTAAAAAAAAATAGTTCCAAAAATTTTAGGTTCTAAGTCTGGACTAATTTCTGATGCACTTGAGATCATCTTCAGGGCATTCAGAGAGCTATAGCAGATATATCTGTTCCTACAAGTAGTTTAGGAACAGTTTAGAAACAGTTCGAACTTGCATCCTGTACTAACAGTTTCAGTCATCTCAGAGCCTAAGCACAATCGATGTATAACCAATCGATTTAATTGATTTTTGAAAACCAATAAAATTTGATTTAAAACATTATACAAATTAATCATTGCAATCGCGATCTCCCATAAATAGCCTGCGCTACTTCACAAATGGTAATGCATACCGCACTCGTAGCAGCGGTCTGTGGGCGTTCTGTTGAGTGCCATCCATCCACCGATAGACATGTTGTGATTATCTAATGTCAAATGTCAACAGCGAAATGTTGCTGGTATTGAAAGCAAGAGCAGCTGTAATTAGCAGCATAACACTTCATCTTGCAATCACATACATATATACATACCTACACGGATAGCCATATATAAATGCGAACTCACCTTCAAAAAGCGGCACATACGCTGCAGGCGTTGCGTCTCTTCATGACTAGCGAGCGACTCCTTCAAATGGGCGCGTTTCAGTGCCGTCGCACTCGCTGCATCCTCTTCGCTCTCCTCAAAAGCAGCGGCCGCAGCACGTAGCGCCTCCCGCGCATTACCGATAAATGACTCGTTGGCGGTGCCGCCATGTGAGGTGGCTTGACTCTTTTTGGTGCTGAGCGATGACTTGTCGGCGGCAATATCAACGCTACACGCCTCATAATGGTGAGCAAGTGCTGTAAATGGTAGACAAAGAAGACGAATAATAATAAGAATAAAAAGACGAGTAGTAGTAGTAGTAGCGGCAGAAATGGGCAAGTTGACGAGCGTTGAGTTAAACTTAAGTTTATTAACAATTATTGAACTATGCAGCGGCAGCAAGTGAGTGAGCACGTGCGCAATAAATTTGTTTGGACAAGGTAATCCAGTCGCATTCCATGCGCGCCGCCATCACAAGCTAGATGACATTCTCAGCTGCAAGTGCGACACACAAACAAGCCAGCCATGCGGCATGAAGTGTGCAGTGCTTACCTTTATAGAACTCAGCTTTCAGCGGCACCAGACCGGCCCAACACTCCGGCAAGTATGTGTGTGTATCGTTCATTTGTATATTTTTGTGCATTTCATTATATTCGAGTGTCAGCTGCGCCGCTTCGCCGGACAAGTCTTTGAAAAGCTATTAGTTGGTGGTAAAAAAAAGAAACAATCACAAAATGTTTGTTTAAGTTTTATAAAAAATTATAATCACATTAAATTCTAATACTTACATGACTGGACTCGGTGAGGCCGAGTGCCTCAATTTGCAGCTGCAACTTCTCGAAGAGACATTCACGTGCCTGCGATAGCATTAACGAGACGAGTACATCCAGAACTTGCGGCTTCAGATCCATCGAGGGCGCATTGGTGAATGTATCGTAGATGTGTCGGAATATGCCGGCGGCACGTAGGAAACTATCCACGGCAGCGTCTAAACCCTTTTCGGTGGTGCGATCGTGACGTGCGCCAATTTGTGTGTAAATAGCGCCCAGATTAAAGAGCGTGCAGGCCTTCTCGAAGGCTATGGTGCGTTGACAAGACGGTACGCCTGAGGAAGAATAAGAGAGGGAAAGGTTTTTAGGTTTTCAATTTGATACTTAAGTAAAATATATTTGGGGACGATCTTTGTACATAAGAAGTTTCGGTATAGCGATAAAAAAAAACCTGTTTACAACCTTGATAGAGAAGCGGTTTTTACAGAGAAGAGAACATCGTCTCAATCTATACCGAAAATTTTTAAATCTCCATTTCTTTGTGCCCAGTGAATTCAATTGAAAATGCTTTCGAGTTGGCCTCGCCGGGAGCATCTCGCTACAGTCAGATGAGAGCTTACGATTTCAAAAAATTACACTGAGCACCTAGAAAGCCATATTTAACCGTGAGATAAAGAATAAGGCAGGAAAGAATCTACAAACCAAAGGGAAAAGGTTGAAGGCTCCCCAGGTACTAGTAATGCATTTGACCACAATCTCTTGGGTTTGGCAAATTATTCACGGTGATTATTAAGTTTATGAAAATTCCCATGATCTCAATAACCTTAAAAAGTAGGGGTTGACATTGCCACTGTTTAAGTCGCTATCAAGTTAAGAGTGACCAGCTTCTCCAGCTGGGCAATCGGAAGGTACTGTATTGTCAGTCGAAATTAAAGAAGGATTATTCCAGAGTACGATTGCCTTGAATCACTATTCACACCGATCACCAAAGGGCTCACGTGGGATTTATTAGGAACGTTCAAATGATTTGGGATAAAAGAAAATTGTTGGCCGTTGTTTTGGAGACGCCTCTAAAAGGTAAAAAAATGTATTCTTTGAAAAATATTACTCACCAGTTAGCGAATCATACCACTCAAAGTAAACGCCCAAATTTCGATCCGGCGGAAAGAATCTCCGTTCAACATAATACAATAAATTGTAATAACGGAAAAGCAAAGCCACGCCCTGGGCATCACGTGAGGGCGTTTTAGAAGCCTATAAGTAGAAGAAAAAATATAAGTGAGAATCAGCTTTCCCAAAACACTTCGCTATAAAGATTTCATTGGATGATTTAAATACCAAAGTTTATTTCTCTTTAGCTTGAATATTTACCTGTCTGGTATCTGTAATATCGGCAATGGCGTCCACATACAAGGACGGCTCTTCACTATAATGTTCCAATATTAAATCTGAAAATGGTTCCATAAAACTAATTTCCTTTGTCTCCTTCAAGCCAAGTGGTATCATTGGCATCACACTTTCATGACTGTAAAGAAAATAATAATCAAAAAATATAATTAGAAATTGATTTAGTTTATTGAAAATAATTTGCAATGAAATAAAATTAGATAGAATTAACTAAAACAACAAAAATAATAATATATAATAAAAACAATCAAAATAAAATAAAATAAGATAAAATAAAATTAAATGTAATAAAATAAAATAAAATAAAATAAAATAACATAAAAAATAAAACTAAAATAAAAAAAAAATTAAATTAAATAAAATAAAATAAAATAAAATAAAATAAAATAAAATAAAATAAAATAAAATAAAATAAAATAAAATAAAATAAAATAAAATAAAATAAAATGAGAAATAAAAAAATAAATAAAAAATAATATGAAATAAAATAAAAAATAAGAGACATAAAAAATAGTGAAATCAAATGAACAAAGAAGATAAAATAAATGAAATAATTTCAATTAAATTTTATGAAATAATCAAAAAAATAAATAAATAAATATAGAAAAATACGTTCATATATATATTTCCTGCACCAACATCACAATCATTTTATCTGTTTCTTCTATTCTACCGCTTTGTGCTCATCAATACGTTTTCATTCTCAATCTTTTCACAGCAATTATGTGCCATTTGGCACTTTAACCTCAATCGCCTATAGGTATTTGGGACGCAGTCTTTACCTAGTTAATGTTTTAAAGGCATTAGCGATGTGCTTAAATACCCAAATAATAAATGGTAACACAAGAAGTATAAAAATCGTAATGCCATAACACAAAACATAATGTGGCTTTAATCCGCCAGATCTTCGTTCAAAGCGCTATGTGGCATGGCAATGGCGAAATGGACGAAGCTTGTGGAATTTGCGAAGCAGTTTGTTGCTGATTTTTCGACACCAGCACACTCGTGACACGCTTTTTTCGTCAACAATAAAACTTTATACTACAATACAACGTAAAACTTATTAAAAAAATAAAAAAAAAATAAAAAATAACTTCCCTAAATTCCAGCCGACACTGTTCTACTCCACATATGTATGCGCGTACGCTGCCTGGGCATGCGTACAAAAGATCGACAACAACAGCAGTCAGCAAGCCTATTGTGAAAAATCAGAAATCACTAATTTTGCGGATGACACAAATTCATTCATTCATTCATTCCCTCACTCATTTGTTCTGGGTGTGCAAGGTGAGATTTTTTCAGCCTTCAGAAAAAAAAACCGAAGAAGCTTCATTAAATTCTTTGATGTGACACAAAGCCATATTAAAGAAATTGTTTTCGCCTGTGCTGTAGCTTACCGCACCCCACTGACGCTGTTGAAATATTTTCTGTAGGTGTTTGATTTAAAGCTGATGTTTTGATGAAGATGTAATTAATTATTGTGTGTCAAGCGACATTCGAGAGAGTGAAGTGTGAGCACACCTTAAAGTTACATGGAATTGAATTGATTTGAATATTATGATAATTAAGAAGATGTACGATTATTAATATTATATTAGTGCATAACTTAGACTTGTAAGTAGTGATAGAAGTAAATGGGATTTAAAAAAAAATGTGAATCACCTTTTCCAATTGACAAACAAATGTACATTGGCACAATATGCTGAATAAGCTACTCACTTCAAACATGTGGAAAATAGTCTATTTCTATAAAAGAAACGAGAAAAAAATATATTTTTTAATTTGGTGTCTAGCTTGTGATAAGCACATGATGAGGAGCTCGAAACATTGCGAGCCACCGAAGTGGGCATACCTAAAAATTGCTTCCTGTTTTAGCACACAGCGAGATCCCCTTTTCATGTTTGTTCCTCATTTTACTAGTCATTCGTGGGTTTATTCCAATTCGCACAGTTTTGGCAACCTTTATGGGCAAAATAGAAATGAAGTTTTGCTTTTTTATAGTCTCTACAATCGTTCGAGCTCAACTCAGACCTCGTAAGATTGGTTTGGGTATCGTTGAAGTGATTGATGGACTTCAATCCACTGTGAAAGCCCTGAGGCCTTCACGCGCCAATAAAACCAATGTGTAATGTTGGAAAATTTGAGGGTTCATTGTTTCTTTTCTTCATCTTAGCATCTTTGTGTGTCAGTTTAATAGAAGATGAAGAAAGTCCATATTTTTCTCTTTTATTTCTACCTGAAAGAGTTCTCTTGAAAGTTCTCACTTCGTTTTAATTACTTGCAATAATGCTGAGCCTATCAATTGGAGCTCGGATCTGCGACGAGTAATGCTTTGCTAGCTGCTGAATAACTCTCTACTTATTATTTTAATAGATTCTGCCACCAATCCTGTTATCTAGCCTTGAATCATTCGTTTAAAGATTAATGGATAAACGAAAATTTCAACGTGCTCGGTAGTTTGGGAAGCCAAAGACCAGTTTTACATCACGTATAGTTCGCATGGGAGACGCTATTGCTGTTGTGAAGCAGAGTATCGAAGAGCACCCAAATAGATCCATCCGCTATCGCCGAGCTGTACCCATCATTGTATGGAAGATTTTGCGGACTCGTCACAGTTTGCGTATTTACGTTCAGTGAATGGGACCAAAAAGAGATATTCACCGAAATCTCGATATTATTCTTGCAGCAATTGGAGTACTGATAATCGGCGATCCGTTGTTGAGATGCCTTTTCATCCTCAAAAGAAGCACTGTTTGCTCTATGGGGTGAATTCTATGACCATAATTTCTTCATAAATGAAGTCGACCAAAATATTTTAGTCAGTATTGTAGCAATACCGGCCAAATTGTTGCAAAAAGTGGTCGAAAATTGGGCCGCTCGGCTGGAATTTATTCGAGTCCGCCGCAGCGGTCACTTGCCCGGAGTAATTTTTATAATATGCAAGTTCTCAGTTATAGTAAATCCAAATTCTTTGTCATACTATTAAATTAAATATATGCCTTTAAATACTCTTTGAATACGCTTTTTATTACTATAATGTGGTTTTTATGCGAAGAACAAACTCAAATTGCATTTCTCTATGTATAAATATACAATTGAACAAGCTTAAATAATTTGCTCAAAATATGAGAAACATTTAAAGTTTGTAGCTAATGGAATTAGAGTAGATCGATCATGCATTTATCGATTATTTATGACTTTTAATATCAAATTATGCCTTGTTTAGACGAAGCGAATTTTAAATATCGACTAGTAAATAAAATTATGCACATATTTATTTTTACAAAAATATGGGTGACATATAGCAACAAAATATTATTAAAAAAATAATAAACAAAAATAAATATTTCTTTTCAGTGCGTCTAAGACTCTATTGTTTTCCACTCAAAAGTTCTGCTTAACATAAAATTCATTCGGTTCATTGGAAAAATAATTTTAAATGCAATCAAAGAAAAATTCAAACAATTATAAAAATAATTAGGTAGCTTGTGTGTTAAATATATTTTTCTTTTGATGTTTTCAACAATAAATTTATTACAGCTTGTACAACGTCAATACTGTTTTTTTTTAATTTCTTGGCCGCCCTCTTATTTTATAATGAGAAAAAAATTTTAAAAAAATTAAAGAAAAAATAAATATACAAAACTAATATTGCAAAAACAAATACCGTAATAAAAGTGTGAAAATAATGTAAACAAACACATGAATTTGAAAAGTTAAAAAAAAGAAAAATATTTATGGTTACATTTGTACATACACATACACTAATTATAATTGCAAATGTGCGACTGTTGTTATATTGTACTTAGCACTTGTAGTTGTAATTGTAATTGCTGTTAAATAATTACTGGCTGCAGCGCGCAACTACTAAATGCACAACAACAACAACAGAGCAAAATTGAAAAAAGACAAAAATAAAATATGTGGAAAAATGTGAAAAATACTAGTTGCCCGTAAAATAGCACCAAAGAAAGGCATGAAAACTGCGAAAAGCACAAAATAAAATGCGGCAAAAGACAAAACACAAGCAAATAAATAATAAAACCGAAACGCGAAAAATGCAGAGAAAAAAGATAAAGAGATAAATAAAACAACGGCGCGTGTCAAACGGTTTGCAAGTCAAGCATATAATAACAACAATAATAAATAAGTGACTGCAAAAACAAAAATAACTATGGGCGAGTTGTAAGCTCCCAAAACAATAACAAATAACGCCTAGACCATTAAAATGATATGTTATGAGATTATGAGATTTGTAGAAGAAGACCAAAAACAAAAAAAACTCACACACACATTCACGAAACAAAACGAAACGAAAAACTTTTGTAGATTTGCCATAAAAACACAAAATGCAACACGTTCGCAGAAATTCACACAAAACACGCGAGCTTTGCACACTCTTGTGGTTAAAAGCATAAAAAAGACGAAGCATAAAAATGTTAATTTGAAAAAAAAAAATTAAATAATAAAATAAAAGATTCGTAAAAAACATGAAAAATGCATCATTAAAGAGAAAAATAAATTATATCTAGATAACAATCGGCATTTACAGCAAAAGCTATATATTTAGGAGATTCTGAACAACAATAGACAAATAAAATAAGAGCGGAAATTAATTTTCGAAAATTGTTTTGAAAATAAAAAATATATTGGATTATTGTATACTAGTTGAAACTGATTCTGAAACTGAAACTGACACTTAGAATGAACTTTAATCAAATATATAATTGCCATTTTGTTCGATAACCTTTTGCCATTTTCCTGGCAAATTTAGTATTCCATGCTCATAGATCTTCTGGCCTTTATCTGCAAAAAACTGAACCAAGTGCGATTTTATAGCCTCATCGTTGCCGAAAGTTTTACCATTTAAGAAGTTCTGCAAAGATCGAAATAAATGGTAGTCTGATGGTGCAAGGTCAGGGCTATATGGTGGATGCATCAAAAGTTCCCAGCCAAGCTCACTCAGTTTTTGGCGAGTGACCAAAGATGTGTGCGGTCTAGCGTTGTCCTGGTGGAATATGACACCTTTACGATTGACCAATTCTGGTCGCTTCTCCTTGATGGCTGTATTCAATTTGTCCAATTGTTGATAGTAAACATCCGAATTAATCGTTTGGT